TGGAGTGGGGACATATTTGTGGCAGGCAGACCAACCAGCACACTGTTGTAGTAGTCCAGGCCTGAGAAAATGAGGGGCTTTCACCAGGGTGATGGTAGCGTCAAAGGACAGAAAAGGGCATATTTGAGAGATGTTGCAAAGGCGAAATCACCAGGCCTTGGCAACAGTTTCTATGTGGGTAGTGAGAGAGATAGTGGGGAGTTGAAGATAATATTTAGGTTGGGAAACTGAGAGGATTTTTATGCCCCCCATGGTTATAGGGAAGTCTGGAAAAGGAAATAGTTTAGGGGGAAAGATAATGAGTTCAGTTTTGGACATATTGCATTTTAAATACCTATAAGACATCCAGTTTGAGATGTCTGAAAGGAAGTTAGAGATGTGAGACTCAGGTCAGCAGAAAGGTTAGGACAGATAGGTAGATTTAAGAAACATCAGTATGGAAATGATAATTAAATCCTTGGGAGCCAGTGAGATCACCAAGTGAAGTATTATAAAGGGAGGAGGGGACCCAGGACAGAACCCTATGGATTAGTGGATATGACCTCAATGAGGATCCAGCAAGAAAAGAATGAGATAGAGTAGTTAGGCAGGAGGAAAACAAGGGAAGAATAGTATCCTGAAGACTTGGAGAGAAGATAGTATCAAGAAGGAGAGGAAGATCAACATTATCCAAGGCTGCAGAGGTCAAGAAGAAAGAGGTTTGAGAAAAGGCCATTAATAGCTTTGGAGAGAACTGTTTTGGTTGAATGATGAGGTCAGAAGCCAGACTGTAGAGAGTTAAGAAGAGAATGAGAGTAGAGGAAGTGAAGCCATCTGTTGTTAATGGTCTTTTCAAGGAACTTGGCCACAAAAGGTAGAAGAGATATAGGATGACAGTGAGTATAGAAGGATTAAGTGGGAGTTTCTTGAGGATCAGGAAGACATGAACATGTTTGTAGGGAATAGGAAAGGAACCAGTAGAAAGGGAGAGATTAAAGATAAATGAAAGAATAGTGATGACAGAGGGGATACTCCATTGGAAGAGAGTGAATCTTGGGAATGGGAATCATTTATGCAGTAGAGCAGTTTGCCTTGGCAATGAGTAGGGCCCTCTCTTCTTGTGAGACAGGTAAAGGAGGAGATAGTAGCAGAATGCTTCTGGATGAAATGAGATGAGGAGGGGGGAAGAACTCATGGCAAATGGCCTCATTTTTTAATTTTTAGTAAAACTTAAGGCCGAGGTTCTCAGCTAAGAGGATGGGAGGAGGGGGAGCCATGGGATGTTTGAGAACTGATGAAAAGTCTTGGAAGAACTACTGTGGAGAATGGAATGAGTTGATGAGAGCTATAGAAGGATTGTCTAGTAACAGTGAGGGCCCTCTTCTGGTTGTTAGATTTGAAGGAAGCCGGGGAAGTTAGGAGGCAAAAATAAAGAGGGAGAAAGTTTCAGATGGGGGACAGTAAGTGAAAATGTCTAGTCAGCAGATGGAGTATCTAGTGTAAGGAACAGAAAAGAGGTCAGTGTCACAGTCCCTGGGACATAGTATACATTTAATAAATGCTTATTGACCGACTGAATCGTCAAATATGGTGGGAAATTAGGCGTAAGATGTAAGAACACTGGAAAGGTAGAAATGAGCCAGATTAAAGAGGGTTTTAAATGACAAACAGCAAATTGCATATTTGATCTCGCAGGCAACAGGTAGCTAGTGGAGTTGATTGAATACAAGGGTGACATGGCTAGACATATTTTAGGAATCTCAGTTTGACCAGATGGAGGGTGGCACTTGAGCTAGGAGAGGGCCAACCAAAAGACTGTTTCAGTACTCCAAGCATGAGGTGATGAGGGTTTCCATGGACCAGGGTGGTGGCAATGTCAGTGAAGAGAAGGGGACATGTAAAGAGATAATACAAAAGTAGAAACAGCAGGACTCGACAACTGATTGGTTATGGGATGGTAAGAGTAATGCGCTGAGGGTGGCACTTAGCTTTTGAGTCTGGGAGGTTGGTGGTACTCTTAACAGCAATAGGGAAGTCTGGAAGAAGGGGGAGGGCTTTGGGGAAGAGGTAATGAATTCAGTTTTGGAATACTGAGTTTAAGATTTCTATAAGACATCCATTTCTGAATGTTCAGTAGGCAGATGGAGATATGAGTGAAGGTCAGCAAAGGTTATGGCTGGACAAATAAAACCTGAAGATCATCTGCATAGTGATGTTAATTGCATTCTTGGTTGCTGATGAGATCACCAAGTGAAAAAGTATAGAGGAGAAGATGGACCAGGACAGAACCTTTTGGGAAACTCATGGTTAGTGGGTATGATGTGCATGAACAATCCAGTGAAGGAGACTGAGAAGGAGCAATCAGATAGATAGAAAGAGAACCAGGAAAAAATAGTGTCACAAAAAACTAGAGATGAGCTTATCAGAGAGATCAAAAAGGATGAGGATTAAGAAAAGGCCATTAGATTTGACAGTTAAGAGATTGTTATTAACTCTGGAGGTAGCAATTTCAGTTGAATTATGATCTTGGAAGTCAGGTGCAGAGTTAAAGAAGGGAGTGAGCAGAAAGGAAGTGGAAGCATTGTTTGTTTATAGATGGCCTTATCAAGAAGTTTAGCCACAGGGACAGCTGGGTGGCGCAGTGGATAGAGCACCGGCCCTGGGCTCGGGAGGACCTGAGTTCAAATTCGGTCTCAGACACAAAACACTCACTAGCTGTGTGACCCTGGGCAAGTCACTTAACCCCATTGCCTAGCAAAGAAAACCAAAAAAGAAAAAAGAAAAAGAAGTTTAGCCACAAAAGGGGAAAGAGATGTTAGTCAATCACTAAGCAGAGTGGATAGATCAAAGGGAGGATTTTTTTGAGGATGGAGGAGACATGGGCATATTTATAGAGAGTAGGAGGGCAGCCAGTAGACAGAGATAATTTGAAGGTAAGAGAGTGGATGTGGTAGAAAAGACAGTCTGCTGAAGAAGACAGGATAGATTGGGATTATTTGTGCATGTAGAGGGGTTTGCTGTGGCAGGGAGAAAGACCATTTCATGTGGATGAGAAAGTGATAGAAGACACCTTAGTGATGTGAGATGAGGAGGGGAGAAGAGGAAGTTTTTGATGGATGGTCTGAGCTTTTTTTTAAAACCCAATTTCGAACACACCTTTGACTTTTCTGTTTTATTAACCATACAGTATATTTTATTTTCCTCACATGTATCTAAAAATCTAGTCTTTTGTCCTTTCCCATGATCAGCCTTTATTACCAAAGTTAGAGTGATAGAATTTTTAAAGTAAGTTTTTATTGTTCACTTCTGTTTCATATATCTTTATAGTTATTCCAAGTATTCCTCTCTCTCCACCTCCTGGAGATCAAGGCTCATATAACAAATAAGCATTTTTTTAGAGAGGACAGGAAAAAAAAACCCAGTACAACTGATGAGTGCATTAAAAAAAAGTCTGAAAATACATGCAAGAGTGATGATAATTATGGACCCCTTAGGAACTTCCCATCTCCACAAAATGGGGGTGGATTAGGAATATCCTCTCATATTGCTTCATTTAAGTCCTGCTTAATCGTTATAATTTCATTATATTTACTTTTGATTTTTTTGGTGTGTATTTCTTTCCATTTACATTAGTTATAGTTCTGTGTAGATTATTTTCTTGGCTCTGCGTACTTCACTCTGCATCAGTTCAGGTAGATCTTTCTATAGGTCTTTGTATGCATCATTTCTTACAGACAGTAGTATTCCATTACATTCATATATCACAGTTTGTTTAGCCCTTCCCAGTGGATAGGGATCTACTTTGTTTCCAATTCTTGTGTTCAATCGTTTTTCAGTTATGTCTGACTTTTCATGACCCCATAGGGTTTTCTTGGCAAAGATACTGGAGTGGTTTGCCATTTCATTCTCCAGCTCATTTTTACAGATGAGGAAACTGAGACAAACAGGTGAAGTGACTTGCCCAGGGTCACATAGCTAGTCAATGTCTGAGGCCAGATTGGACTCAGAAAGATGAGTCTTCCTGGCACCAGGCCCACCACTTTATCCACCTAGCTGACATCTTAGCCATCACAAAAAGTACTGCTATAAATGTTGTGGTATATATGGAGATTTTCTCCTTATCGATCACTTCCTTGAGGTATAAGTACAGTAAGGAATTTCTGATTCAAAGAGGTATGGGCATTGTAGTCACTTTATTTGCATAGAGTGATAGAATTTTAAATCCAGATAGAAATTAATCCAGCCTGTCAGTTTTCAAATGGAGAAATTGGGATCCAGGAAAATGGTGTTTTGTCCAGGGGTTATATAGCTAGTTAGTAAAGCTAAGGCTATCCTTCTTGTGCACTTGTCTTTTTTTCCATCACGCTGTGCTTCCTTTTTTATTATGTTGCTTGATTCTCCTGTATATTCCTTTTTTACTTTATCTTGTTATTTCAAGGATCCATATCAACTAGATCAGAATCTGTAGGTAGATCTCTAAGCCAGTTATTTTCATCATTACTCCATAGCTTACCATATTTTGCTCTCTAATTTTTGTTTGTGTGATTCATGGCTAGTAGGGGAGCTCAGCTGTTATGAGTGTTGTTCCCCAATTTGTGACTTTAATATTAGCAGTCCTCCTGCCTTTGCCTGCCTCCAGGTAATACTGTTCAAGGCTTATTGAGTTGATGAAAAATAGTTTTCCCTTACAGTTAAGTTGAAAGTGTCTTATCTTGTTTGAACACCTTGTATGTTACTATGTATAAACAATAGTATGTATATACTATATGTATGTTATGTATGTGCATTTGATCAAAATCACTCACCTCATTTTGCAGATAAGGTATTCTTACCCGAAACCTGGTTTATATGTTTATAAGAAGCCTTGTTTATATAAAAAATGTCCAGATATATATTTGATAAGGCTAAATGAGGAGTCTTACTTGTAGAGACATAAGATTTTATTCCTGTCACACTTGGCAAGATTTATAGTGAATTCTTTAGTTTTTCTTTCTGTTCCTTCTCCCTTACCTGTCACCTAGATCAAATACAGATGGACCTGAAAATGCTGAGGAAGCAGGACCCAGTGAAAATAGGAAGGTCAATGGCAATAACTCTCCATCACTCACAAATGGAGGCTTTAAACCTCCTAGGCCTCCAAGACCTTCACGGCCACCTCCTCCCACTCCTCGTAGACCAGGTTGGTATTGTAAAAAGAGATATGAAAGATTAGCTGTTAATGATATAACTTGATGATTATAATCTTGATTATTATTTTGTTCTATTTTAAGTTGCTTTTCAGGTAGACACCAATAGAACTATCATTTCTTATTTTTAGAGCATTTTCATGGCTGCATTTGTCCCTTCACATTTTTTGACAAGGATGATCTTCCCATACACAATCATGAGATACTTGATAGCCTTTCCATCACTCTTTTTTGGGCTGTTGAAATTTTTATAGCTAGCAAGGTGACAAATGCATTTGCGTTATGTCTTCATGATTAAAGTGTAGATGGTATCTTTTGCTAAGGTGTACTCCATGGTTTTGGATTCAGTAAATTATGTTGTGCAGGGCATTATTCTTCAGGTTCTATTTGGACTAAAAAAGTGTAAAAAAGGCTAAAATGACTAGAAGTTCCCTCAGATCCCTTCTAGCTTTGAGGTTCTATAATCCATAACTTGATGCAATACCACAGAAGGTCAAATAATCGCATCTGTTGACTTATTTCTCCTATATTTCTTTAAAGTAGAATGAGTAAATGGCAAGTAACGTATATTGGAACATCCTGAATGATCACATTTTAAAATGTTAACAGTTTTTCTATTGAAACCTTGATTTGTAGGCATGTGTAGGTTTGTATATCAAATAAACTTTGTTTTTTTGCATGTAGATTGATATAGTAGATAGAGCACTGAGTTCAGAGGAGCTGGTTTCTAATCCTGTCACTATTACCTTGGGAAAATAACATATTCCGGGGCAGCTAGGTGGCACAGTGGGTGGAGCACCGGCCCTGAAGTCAGGAGGACCTGAGTTCAAATCCGGCCTCAGACCAAACACTTGACACTAGCTGTATGACCCTGGGCAAGTCAGTTAACCCCAATTGCCTAAAAAAAAAAAAAGAAAGAAAGAAAATAACATATTCCCTGCCCTTGCATTTGGACTGTATGACCTCTTAGACCCCTTCAAGCTCCAGACCTGTAATCCTATGATTCATTTTGTGAATTTTGGGTCACTTAGTTTTAAATGAGTTTGCTTGTGTTTGGGCTTCACCAACTTTTAAAAAATCAAAATTGTACTCACTATTTGGAAAAAAAAAAGTAATGACACCTTTTAAAATTTTCTCACCTAACCCATTTATAGCATCTGTCAATGCTTCTCCATCTGCACCTTCTGAGGCTCCTGTGTCTAGTACAGAGTCGTCACCATCAACAAACATGAGTGTAACTCCTGAGGGAGCAGCAGCACCTGCCACCGCGGCTTTAACGACACCCCCAGCTTCCAGACAAGTGCAGCCAGCGAATTCTGCTTCTCAACAGCTCAGTACAGTCAATCAAGGTCCTCTTCCACCGGGGTGAGTATCTAAACACGTTTAATTTATATGTGCTTTGCTTGTGTTTCTCCTGAAAGTACTGTGTAGGAAAGGAAATTCCGTATTTTAAATAACAGTTTAGTCTGCTTTGGGTAGTGTTATCTACACCTTTGGGTTTGGGTTGAAACTGACCTCTGGCAACCCTAAATCATGGGGTCTCAAAGAGACACCAAGTCAAATGTGAAATTTCTAGGTGAACATTTTTTTTCTGTTGTGAGACATGATTCAAGGAGGGCTTCCATATCCAATTCAGTGGACCACTTGGAGTCTGAGAATCAAACAAACAATCCCTTTGCCAAACTGAGTTATAAGTAAGTGAAAATAGCTTTCCTTTGTCTTCCACGACACAAGTATTGACTCCCAGATAAAAGCAGTCCTCAAGGAATTTTTGTGGGGTCTCAGAGAATTCCAGGTCATTAAGTGGAGCATTTCTTTATATTTATTGCCCAAAGGGCCCACATCTGGTTTCAAATTAATCCAACTAGGGGTACGGTTAATTCACACTGCCCTGAATTTGTATCATATCATCCTGGCTTACTGCAACTCTGGGAAGTAAGAGGATGAAGAGTTAACTTAAGCTGTCCCCAGTCTGCGTTCTAGAATCTTGGCCTATACCCCCTGACTCTTCAGGATCACCAGTGTCAGCTTCAAAGAAAAATTATCACCCCTTCATCCTTGCAGCCAAGTGGAGAGGACCTCAGTACAGCAGAAACAACAAAGAAAGTACTACCCCGAGGATTCCTCTTCTGCTGCCCGTCATCCTTCCTTCTTTGCTGCCTGACATTTTTCTTCCTCTGTTGCACATCACTCTTGTTCCTCTGCTGCTTGTCATTCTTCCTCTTCTGCTGCCCATCATCCTTCCCCTGTTGCTTCTTGCTACTGTACTCCATGTTGCTCCCTGAGGTACAAGGGCTCATGGTGCTGCCTACTGTGTAAGAGCCTACAGTGATACCCAATCTGCAGACATCTGTATCACTATTGTTCACTCCACTGCTATTTGTCCCTAGGGGAACATTGTCCTCCACTCTCTCTCTCTCTCAATGCTGCTGATGGCTTTCCAAGCTGTTGCCTGCAGTCCAAGGTGCCATCTTTATAATCCTGCTGTTACCAGTGCTATCTGAACAACTGTTGCTTGAAGGTCAAGGTGCCCTCCCTGTGATCTTCCTATTGCCAGTGTTATCTGAATTGCTGCTTGCAGACCAAGGTGCCCTCTTTGCAGTCCGGCTGTTGCCAATGCTATCTGAACCACTTACTGCCTGGAGCCCAAGATGTCTTCCCCACCATCCCACTGTTACCAATGCTAGCCACATTGCTGCAGTGTTATCCGAACTGTTTCCTTTAGGCTAGGGTGCTTTCCTTGTGATCCTGCTATTGCTAGGTTATCTGAATTGCTGCCCATAGACTAGGGCACTACTGACTTCCCCTCTGTCCCAATGTTATAGGTGCTGCCTGGGCTGTTGCCAACAAGCCAGGGATCACTGCTCCTTTTAATGCCTGGACTGCTGATTGAGGGCCAGGGAATTAATGTTCTTTCAACTTCTTCATTTTTTTCTGAACTAAGATCAGTGCACCAGATCTCACTTACTACTCTAATTGTCTCAGGAAAGGGGTTCAACATCTCATGCATCTTGGAGTCAAAGACTTTAAATAAACATTCATTTTACTAAACAGAAGTACAAATGAGCACAATTTTTCTCTAACCTCCATGAAAACACGTTCTGTGACCCTTGGTAAAAGTAGCCTGCCGGGAAGTTCTGTGAGGTCTCACAAGTTTCTTGTTCAATAGATAGAATGATCCATATATCCACATTTCCCACAACTGGATCCATGTGGGAGTGAACTTAGGTCAAATTGCTCCAGATCTGTATTATAGCGTCTTGACTTATAACAACCTTTCGAGTAGAGACAGATGGGGGTTAGCTGCCTTAGGTTGTATGTGTGTGTGTGTGTGTGTGTGTGTGTGTGTGTGTGTGTGTGTGTGTGTGAAGAAATAAAATTGGTTTCACTTATCACTATCCTAAAGTTACTAGTCAAGGACATAAAATGTTACTCAGTAAACACAACAAAAATAATAACTTGCCCCATATTAGACCACAGATTTGTTAAAAGAAAGATCAGAGATAAAAAGCTAGGTGAAATAATATTAATAAAAAAAAAGATATGCATATATCTGAGACAACTCAGTCAAACTATTCGAATAAAATTTGATAATGAAGACTGGGTAATGGACAACAGACATGACATTAACAACAGTTTTAATTTCATACCAAAGTTAATCTGTGTAAGTCAGTTGCCATAGCAGGAAGACCAAAAGAATGCATAAAGCAGCTAAATGTTTTGGCTTATTTGCAACAAGGAGATGGAAGCCAAAGCAACACTGTATTAGAATAACTCAGATGTAAAATTTTATGAAGATGGATGATGAATGATTATGAGCATTATTGCCTCATTAAACAGAGAGAAGCATTGGAAGGTAAAACCACTGTAAAGAAGGCTTGGCAAGGATATCAGCTAACTGAAGTCACTCTGAGGATATGTAAGGACAGAAATGGAAGGAGGACAGCAAGTAGAAGATAAATGGAAAAGATCAGCAAAGATTTACAAAACAGACTTTTCACTTTTAAAGATAGTAGAGCCACCACACTTGGATTTTAACTTCACAGTGCCAGATTTACTTATAAGGGAGGTAAGATTGGCATTAAAGAGAACAAAGTCAAGAAAAGGAGCTAAATTGAACCACCTGTAGAGGAGATCTATGCTTGACGTAACACAGCTGTGAGAGTATTGAAGGATTAATTCTCAGGCTATCCAAAAGAGGGAAGATACCAAAGAGTTGGAAAAAAAATCTCAGACTTTTATTACAATACTGAAAAACAGTGAAGGAGAAGGAGATCAGCATTTATTGACCTTTTATACTTTCTCATCTGTGCAAAATGTTTGGGACCCATGCATACTTGAGAGTGTTGTTGATGAGGCTATAATGGGGCATAAGCAGGCCTTTTGAAGTGATAACTCAACAAAAAACCACAGACTCACCATTTCTCGTTAACTGAAAGACGTAGTGAAATGAAGATACCACTGTGCTTGTATTTTGTGGCTTATGAAAAACCCTGTATTGATGTTCACCATATTTATTTCAAGAGAACAAAAGACTCTTTTCCAACAGAAAGCCTCTCATTCATATAAGAATTATTCGAGATTCTTTGAAAGACATAAAAGCAGAAATTACTCTGTTCAGTTATCCTCTGATCATAAGCATCAGATGAGGCATAAAAAAGGAGACATGTGCTTTCCAAAGGTATTCACCACTGTGACGGAGGAGATCCGATAAAAAGTCCAAGTTGAAGAGAGATTCCTTGTAGATGTTGAAGTCCTCCAGATACTCCAGTTTGTGATTGACAGTATGCAGACAGCATCATGCCCTAGAACTTTGCAAAAACTACTAGAAGAGATCCACAGCGACTCAAACGCACTCGGTCTGCTTCATTTTTGTCTTTTCCTCCTCTAGCACCTGGCTCAGTGCTTTGCGCAATAATAATAAAATAAACGTGTTGATAATTTGACATGACCATCCTCACAGGAAAGGTATTACTCAGATTATAATATACAGATAGACCACCTAGAGAATCTATCATCGTGACTCTCTGGGACAAGAACAGATGTATATTAAGCTCCTATTATGTGCCAAGCATTGTGCTAAGTGCTTTATAAATATCTCATTTGATCCTTAGAAAAATCCTGTGAGGTAAATGCTGTTATTATCCACATTTTATAGTTTAGGAATCTTAGGCAAAAAGGTTAAGTGACTTGCCCAGGGTCACACATAAAACTAATAAGTGTCTAAGGCTGGATTTGAACTCAGTTCTTCCTAACTCCAGGCCCAGAATTCTATCCAATGGGACAGACAATGTAGTGGACAATGGATTGGACCCAGAATTAAACAAGAAGAAGAGAGCAAGCCGGGTAGCTTCTGGAAATTGCAAAACTCCTATATTGATCAAAAACTTCTCAGAAATAAAAGGCCCATCTGTTTGACACCAATTCTGCCAGTGTGGTATAAACTGTGAGACATGGAACACAATAATCTTAAAATAATTGAAGGTGAATATCACATAGAAGGCAGTGGAGAGAGAGGTGCAAGGTGGGTATGAGCAGCTATAACAAAGGAGAAACTTTGATGAACAGGCATAAAAGATGATAAAAAATAGCTAGAACAGGGGTGGGGAACCTGGGGCCTTGAGGTCACAAGTGGCTTTCTAGGTCCTTGGCTGTGGCCTTTTGACTGAATCCAAGTTTTATGGAACAAATCCTTGTACTAAGGGGATTTATTCTATGAAGTTTGGATTCATTCAGAGAGCCACACTTGAGGACCTAGAGGTTCACATGTGGCCTCAAGGCCCCAGGTTCCCCACCCCTGAGCTAGAATTTATATAGCACTTTAAGATTTAGAAAATTCTTTACAAATATTACCTTACTTTTTCCTCATAAAATCCTAGAAAGTAAGTGCTATTATTATTCCTATTTTTAGGTGAAGAAATTGAGGTAAATAGAAGTTGTAACTTGCCCGAGGTACCAGCTAATAATTGCCTGGGATCATAGTTGAGCTCAAGTCTTTCTACTTCTAAGTCTAGAGCTTTTGACCTGTATTCCCTAGATGTCATTAAAATTATGTATGATGTGTGAAGGATAATAGATGAACAGCCCAAGTACTTACCTACTATCCTTATGATGTCAGGAAAAAGCAAGGCAGACCTTTAGTGAGTTGGATGGACTCCTCTGTGGTAATTACTTAAGGGAAGACTTGGAATATAGAGTACCATAGGATGGATAGACATGGTTGGGTTGCAGTATTCATTGTCAGGAAGAGCATTAAAATCAGTGTGATCACGTCCACTTTAGTATTGAATTTTGGAGTTCACCATGTTATAAAGATTGTTTCTTTCTGCCTCGGTTTTAAGTTATAACAATTGAAGGGAGAAGAG